AACTTCTGTGCTATAAAACTAACTAGTGGTTACCAAAAATGAAGGGGTAAGTGGGCAAATTTGGAGGAAAGGAACAATGATATGATAAAGGATAGATGTGAACTTTTAGAGGTGAAGTTAATATAGATATACAAACATTGATTTATGATGATGAAAACCTGTATTTATATCATGTTACAATGCAACGTTAATTCGATAAAATACTAGACATTTATTTTCTTTGAGGTTATATCTAGCTGAACCACAGTGATTTTGTTTCTCTTTATTAAATATCATGAGTGCACACTAAATTATAAAGTACAGAATCAGCTTATTCTCAAAAGCTACCTTCCTTCCTCCCATATCGTTACTTCTTCTGCCACATTAAGTCATGTTAGCTTTAAATTTCAATGTGTTAACTCATTTTTAAGTAGTATATATATATATATATTATACACACACACACACACACACATATATAAACACACATATAATTAGCAACTTTGGTCCAAACATATTCATTGCAAAAATCAAAGTAAAACAAAAAAATAAAAATAATATTTTCCCACTTATTGACCTTGAGAGCATTTGAAAAGGATTTGAGCATAGAAACCCATTTAACTTTATGTGCTCCTGTTTAAACAACTACATGAATATTTTTCATGATTTATCTTCCCCCTACTTTTAAATTTCCTATAGCACATACATGCCAGTAATTTTAGTACCAATACAGTTGGGAATAGAGTTCATTTAGTCCCTCTCTGGACACAATGACCAATTAAACTTGAGGGACTTTGGAGTCCCTAGGGCTAAAATAGAGGACACTACAGTGTATGAATAGTGAGTCCATAATACAAAGTCACCACCTGCTCTCCAGGACTCTGTCAATATTGCTGATGTCTAGGAAGTCAGCTTGTATTTGTAAAATCCACTAGTAACCTGATATGATGAACTAGCATCCATCAAAAGTGCCCCAATAACTGAGGGAAATATTTGGAATACAAGCTCGTCTTGTCATACGGATTTTTTTCTTAGTAATTGTCCTTGCTGCAGTCCAAGTACATGGTAATTTCTTTCTCAGTTTGTGAGCAAAAAGTAGTTGAATAAGAATGTCACAAGGGGTGAGTGATCAAATGTCACTGCACTTACGAGCCTGTGTGCACCAGACATCCTTCAAAACACAGCACAAAGAAAGACATGGACATCACTTTGACACCAGGGGAAAGGTGAGTGGAGTTGAGAGCAGAGTCATGCTACCAAGAATGGGAAGGGTCTCTCAGATCATCTCACCACATCCATTCCCTGGAATATGTCTCATAAAGGAATCCGTGTTCAGTTTGTTTCTGGAAATCTTGAAATAGATACCAAGTAGTTTGAGTGATTGAAAAATCGTTGAGCCCTTTTGAATAGACATTTTCCCACGGCACTGCTAATAAATGGGTCAGTGGAATTTTTTAAGCCACAAGTAATTTAAAAGTGGCATTTGAGGTTTCTTCTGATTATTACAGGATATATAGTCCAAAAGGAGTCAAGACAGTGTCATGAACATACTATTTGTCAAGAAGTAATTTTGTTCTCTGATGCTATCAGAGAGGACCTGGTCGAGAGCGGACATGAGGGCGATACAAAGTGTAGAAAAAGAAGAGGTCGGAGGAACAACCGGGAAAAGCAACTGCTGATTGCAGATACAGGGAAAAAAACTGGTCATAGAGCCCTCTCATTTCCCTGCCCTTCAGACACCTCACTAGCCATTGACTAGATTCATATTCTAGAAAACTATATTCTCAGTTTTATGCTAGAAACAAACATATCAGTGACATGTATATTTAACTATGTCTTCGTATAGTTTTATAAAGAGAAATAAGTATCGATACCACCAATAACACTTTGCTCATCTGTTTTCTCATATAAATAATTGAGCAATGACTTATTACTTTAATAGCTAATACTTATGATAATATTGATGATAGTATCACTGATAACTAGCCCACATTCACTAAATACTTACTCTGTCTCAAGTACTGTCCTAAACTCAGGTGTGTATAACACTGTCTCGTTTCAGCTTCACAGTCTCTTACTATCACCACAGAGATCTTTGTGTTTAATATGACACAACTTGCCCAATAGCATCGCCCATTCAAAAATTAATTCAAGTTCCAGCAGCAGTATTTCTAACAGCTTGCTTCCAATGGTGATTTTATCACGGGGCCAAATGAATAGAAAACCCCATATTTCCACATTGCTGTGAATTGTGTTTAATGATAAGGAAGTTTCCTGTCTTCCATTTTTACTTTTTCAATATTTCTTCTTCCTCAAATTGTTTAGTGATTGCTCACTTTTCATTAGAAGTTTAATCTTTCCTCAATTATCATGTTACAATGCTTTATATTTAAATATATTGATTACCTTTGTCATAAATACTGTACATTCTTCCACCTTGTATTTGTCTCTTATTCTTCCTAATATTTTTCCATGGAAACTATGATTACATACTCCCAAAGAAGTATTACATACACTCTCTGGTGTACAATGGCTATTTACCAAGGAATAATGTAAATCTGTAGTGAAAAAACTAAAATTAAAACCACATGTATACTAGAAAGAGTTTGAATCAAAGAACCATTTCTATTCACTGTTACACAGACATTCCATGGCCCACTCAGTCTTCCTTTATCTGCCTCCGGTATCAGAGGTGACAACTCTTCCTTTATCCTTTTTTTTAACTTTACACACAGTCACAGCATCTATTTTGATGTTTGTAAATTCAAGTGGAGGAAGTCATAGTGATGATCTTAACTTTACACACGAAGACTTCTAGCTGGAATAGATGTTGGTGCACTTGGGACATGGAGCTTAACAGCTCATAATGTAACTGAAATATGTTGTTTCTGTTTTTACCTACAAGACTGCATGAGATGCAGTCAGTCTTGGGCTACCTGTACTTTAGGAGAGTGATATAGTACCAAGAAGAGAATGGCTGTTAAATTCTGACTTTGAGTCTTGGTCCCTCCATTACTGAGTGTATAAATTATTGGTTGTTATTGAGTCACACTAGCAGTAAAATATAGATCATGTCTATCTGTCAGGGTTTTGTGAGAATTAGGAAGAGTGTAGTTGAGGTATTGAGTAGTTTATTGCCTTTTGATCAAGTCTTAATTATCAGTTATACAATCTTCATCAAAGTGTTTGAAGATGGAGGGATTGTCACCTATAGTCATCAATATATATCTAAAGTAAGCTATAATTTTATTACCTTGAATCAAATCATGTCTTATCTGTGATATTTGATGCTCACTGTTGGAATGCAGGTGCACACATCATTTAAAAGAGACAACTCATAAAAAATCACATGACCAGCAAGATAAATTTCAGAAAGCTTCTATATTACTAGCCATTTCAGCCAATTTAAAATGACTGTATTAAAGAGCCATCTTTATCGGGGGCTTCCCTGGTGTTGCAAGGGGTTAAGATGCAGCTGTAAGTCTGTCTGCAGCCACTGCAACGGAAGTTCAATCCCCAGCCAAGGATCTGGCATGGCAGACCTTTCTTGTCTCTCCACTGCTCCCCTTAGCAGCGGATTTCAGTAGATCTGCCTGTTCTGCTCTCTATTCTGAATCTGGTGAATCTTCTCACCCTCCCCCACACACATCTCTGGCTTACACTGCAGCTCATGTGTGCATAAATAAATATTTTTTTAAAAAGGAAATTTTTATCATTAAAATGTTTATCAAAGTAGATTGGGGGTACGAAAATGAAGAGGAGTTGAAATGAATTGGGACTTCCATTTTGTCATTTATGTATAATGATATACTTCATAAAGTAAGGCTGAACATGCAACTGCTTTCCAACCATGAGATGAGAATAGAGTGCTTCACAAAGGTTCACTGCAAGTTGTATTTGGTATTGTATTGTTCAATAAAAAAATCAGGTCCATTCAATAAGGGTATTCAATAATTATTTAATGACTTCTTTTCTACTTCATATTTTTCAGGAATGAAAAATAAATGAGCCATGATGAATTGGGCAAATGAGAGCTCCGCCAAAGAGTTTATACTACTTGGCTTTTCAGACAGGCCCTGGCTACAAATGCCTCTATTCATCCTCTTACTAATATCATATACAATCACCATCTGTGGCAATGTTTCCATCATGACAGTATGTATTCTGGATCCCAAACTTCATACACCCATGTATTTCTTTCTCATTAATCTCTCCATCCTGGATCTCTGCTATACCACAAGCACAGTCCCTCATATATTGATAAATATTTCTCACCACAAGAAGACCATCAGTTATGGAGGCTGTGTGGCCCAACTCATCATCTTCCTGGCCCTCGGTGCAACTGAGTGTCTCATCCTTGTGGTTATGTCCTTTGACAGATACGTGGCAATCTGCAGACCCCTCCACTACGTGGTCATCATGAATCCTTGGTTCTGCTTAAGGATGACAGCTGTATCATGGTTCGTTGGCTTCAGCAATTCAGTGTTGCAGTCTTCCTTGACACTTCACATGCCACGCTGCGGCCGTCGGGAAGTGGACCACTTTTTCTGTGAGGTTCCTGCCCTTCTCAAGTTGTCGTGTGCTGACACAAAGCCTATTGAGTCTGAGCTCTTTTTCTTTAGTGTATTAATCTTGCTAATTCCGGTGACATTGATCATCATCTCCTATGGCTTCATAGTGCGAGCAGTATTGAGAATCAGGTCAGCAGAAGGACGAAGAAAAGCTTTCGGGACATGTGGGTCCCACATGATTGTGGTGTCTCTCTTTTATGGGGCAGCCATCTACATGTACCTACAACCACCTTCATCCACCTCTAAGGACTGGGGGAAGATGGTCTCCCTTTTCTATGCGATCTTTACACCCATGTTGAATCCCCTCATCTACAGCCTTAGAAATAAAGATATGAAGGAAGGTTTCAAGAGGGTGATACCACAAATCTTTTTTTGTAAGAAGTGAGACGTACTCCATTGTGATAAGGATATTCTGACTCTACTTATTCTTGAAGATGGCAATAATGTTTGAGCTGATTTTTCTATTTTCCAGGCTGTTATGATTTCATTTAACTTTACCAAGGGTGAGGAAAGTCTGCCTCTACTCAGGAATCAAAGCTAAGAGAAAAAAATATCTTTCTATATTAAATAGTCCCTTGCTTTAGAGATGTCCCCTCATTGTACTCTGCTCTTTGCACTCTTGTGACAAGTCTTGTGAAAAGACTTGTTACTTTTCTATCAGTTTCAGAATAGCTGGAACACTGGGAAAGGAGAGCTTCTCACTAACCTACTACTTGTACAATCATCTTGTCTAACCACCTCAATTAGAGATTTCCACATCTTTATGATTATATAACCCATGACTCCAAGCACAAAATATTCCCACTGGCGTCCAAGTCACATCTTTTGACGAAAACCTTCATACATCTTCCAGAACTGTTCTAGCATGTGCTTCAACAGTGTATCTCATACTAGATTCTTGAAATCTCTGCTGAGTTTCATTTTCAGCTCCATTTTTCATTGGTCCCTTACATCACCATAAATAGCTTTTTATTCTTTCTTTTGTCAGATCCTTATTTGTCCTAAGTACTGCCCCAAGCACACAGGATCTCCTTTAAATTATAAAGCGAATTATTATAGAAATTTCTTTTAATCTGTTTTTTTTTTTTAAGACTGATTTAGGAAGACAAGGTATAGGCCAGAGGTAGGGGGCAGGAGTGTGAGAAGATTCACCCCCGGCAGAGTGGGGAACAGAACAGGCAAATCTACTGAAATATATGCTAAGGGGAGCAGTGGGTGAGGCAGAAGAGGTCTGCTGTGCCATATGGGGGTTATCTCCCTGGTGGGGGCTTGAACTCAGGCCACAGTGGTGATAGCGCTGAGACTTCACCCTTACACCACCAGAAAGGAGGTGAGTAGAAATCGCTTTCCCTTATGTTGATCTGATTAATTCCTTCTGAATGTGGGGTGTCATTCAAGAAATGTGTGATATTTGCAAGATACCACTATACCAAAAGGAAAATAATCACTAAAGAATAATTGTGGCTCCTGGAGAGAAGGCTCTTAGCTTCAGGCACTTAAATGACTATTAGCAAATGAGGACATACGTGAAGTCACATTTTAAGCAACAAAAAGTTACAAAATAAAGTTTTATAATAACTACAAGTAATTTAATGTGACTAAAACCGAGTACAGAACATATATAATGAAGCATTGGATGGCAGCTGCAGTGTGAACTTACCCAGTAAATACAAAAAATCAGTTAATGATAAAATATCACAGCAGTACTAAACACCTAAAAGCAGTCAATGGCTTTTAATATAATAATTATGCGTTTAACAAATGTGATCCTTCAAATCAGAGAGAAAGGGAAAAGGAAAGGGAAAGACTTTTAATTCCTGGTGTTTAAAAGACCAGATTTCGGGGCCTCCCTGGTGGTGCAGCAGGATATAGCCAACGCTAAGAAGCTAACACCACTTCAGCACGAGTGAGATCCCAGCCCCAGAGGTGACCACATGGCGCGGCAGACCTCTCCTGTCCCACCTGCTGCTCCCCTCAGCAGTGTACTTCATCAGTCACCCTGTTCTGCTCCCCATTCTGTCTCTGGTGAATCCTCTCACCGCCCCTGCACCTCTGGCCTGTACCCCAGTTCTGTATGCATTAGTAAATAAATCTTTTTTAAAAAAGACCAGTTTTCTTGGCCCTCCCTGGTGGCGCAGCGGGTTAAAGCACAGCACTGAGAATCTGAAGCCACTTCCGCATGAGTTCGATTCCCGCCTGCCGCCTGCCCCGGAGGAGACCACATGGCGCGGCAGACCTCTCCTGGCCCGCCCGCTGCTCCCCTCAGCAGTGTGCTTCGTAGATCTGCCTGTTCTGCTCCCCACTCTGTCTCTGGTGAAGCCTCTCACCGCCCCTGAGCCTCTGGCCTGTACCCCAGTTCTGTATGAATAAATAAATACATTTAAAAAAAAAAAAAAAGACCAGTTTTCCTTCACAAAATTAATTCAAGGCATCAGCTCACTGGTAGCAGGAAGGGCAGCTTCTCCCACAACCTCACCACCATGTGGGCCAGTCTCACGTGGGCTCCCTACCACGAGGGAGAGGGGTGTTTCAAATGACCTCACTGCCAGAGGGGCGGAGTCACTTGTGACCTCACTGACAGGGGCCAGAGTCTCCACTTGAGTACTCAGCCCTCTACAGGCCACCTACTTGTCCTCACTGTCACGGAGTGTCCTCTCACATGAGCTCACTGCCAGGAGTGTGCATCACAGGTGACTTGCTGCCATGAGGAGCTCGCACACCCATGCTGCTGAGATCACTCTGCCTTGGTTCAACTCCTTCCTGGTGTGGAGAACGCAACACAGAGCCCTGTGTGGTGAGGGGCGTGCATGTGTGTGAAACCGGGAAGGATGCTGGAAGCCTCCGGAAACTAGACAGTGTCAAGTCATGTAACACAAGCAACTGCAGGCACTGATTATAAAAGCCAAGAAGTTTCAAGCTGCCATGGGCATGAAGTTTAAACATTTCTGAAAGCTCTTCATGGCAAGGAGGCATACAGCACATTGGAGCAGAGATTTGGGCAAGAAAGTTAGTTAAGAGATCCCAATTATTTTTCCGCCTGATGCGTATGTGGTTCCCTTATGTTCCTCCTATAAGTGAAACCATCCAATATTTTTCTTTTTCCTCTGACATTTCATTGGGCATAATTCCTTCTAGTTCCGTCCATCTTGCTGTGAATGGGATTCGTTTATCCTTTGTATTGCTGTATACTATTCCATTGTGTATATATAGCACACTTTCTTGATCTGGTCATCTATTTTGGGGGCATTTGGGTTGTTTCCATGTTTTGCCTAAATACACTTCAGTGAACATAAGGATGCAAAAAAATAAATAAATAAAAAACCAATTAGAAAGCAAATAAGTGTTCACAGCATTTCAAGAAACAACTTTCCTTAATCATAAGTGCAACTCCTCATCTCTTCAAGTTTTTTTACATTTTATTTTCAGCCTCCACCACTAATCCTGGGTTTTTTACTGTTTCCCCTACATCTGCAGTGCTTTCCTCTTCTGAGGTCTTGAGTCCCTCAAAGTCACCATGAGGGGTTGGAACCGCTGCAAACTTGTTTTTTTTCTATTCATACAGAACTGGGGTACCGGCCAGAGGTGCAGGGGC